GCACTAGCGAAAATGAGGCGCGCAGCAGCAGGGAAGGCGAGTGGGTAGTTTTAGGGTGCATTGAAATTTTGCGCGTGAACAGGGTGAGGATGGGGATGGGGATATGCGGCAAGGGGAGGAGGAAGAGAAGGGATGATGGGGGAGGATAAGTAACAACTGGTGATACGGAGCAGAGTAGCATGTTAACTGCCTGCCCGCGAGGCTCATCCGATGTGATGATAGAGTACGTCCACTCCCTCAAGGGGCGCAACGCCACATCAACACAAGTCCGAACGGATAGTGCAGTTTGTTTTTTCTATGTCGAAGTCGAACACGAAACCCCAATCCGCACTCATCTCAAGTCCGATGTGTTTCCCGAATAGCTTTAGGTCGGGCTTGTCCCTCTACAGAAGGAATATCCAAAAATATGCAAAACAAAATCAGGGGACGATTTTTTGACTATGTTTGACCATTTGGGGGCATTCTTTGTGTATTTTCATTTTTTCCTCAAAAATCCCCCTGTAGGGGGACATGCCCGACTTAAGAATAGCTTGTCTGCAAGGGTCCTACATCATTTCTTCGGTCGGGCGTGAGCACCTGCCCGGTCCCGAATCGGTGGTGCAGGGTCTCCGGTCATATGTGTGTTGCCTCGCAGGCTTACCGGGATGCTCTCCTGTAAGCTCTCTGGTATGACTTCTCGTAATTATCCACGCTTCGCGTAACAACAGCCTCACTCGCCGCTGGCGCCTTCGCCTGCGGCTGCGACAAAAAAAGTACCCCCACCAGCCTGCATCTGCATCCAGTTCGGCACCCATATGGAGGTGTTGCCGGTGCCGCGTGGTGCCGTCCGCGCCATTCTGGCTTCGCTGAGCTCCGTCCCGCTCCGTGCATGGCGTTGCTAGCTATTGTTTTTGTTTCCTTAGCTTGTGGCACGGCCTGCCGCTGCTTGCACGGCGTTCGACTCGCTTCGCGCGCCCGCGTACCGAAAAGTATCCACACCAGCCCATCCAGAGACGATGTTCACAGGAATTGCCTCTATCAGGGAAGGGGACAGCACACAGAGAAAGGGCCTCTCTTGGAGCGCTTTTGGGACACTCTGGGGCGCTCTTGGTGCCATCTCGGGGGGTTCTTGGAGCGTCTTGGGTGCCTCGGGGAGCCCCTTGGGGCCTCTTCGGGGTCTCTTAGGAGCCTCTTGGAGGCCTCTTGAGGCGCTCTTGGGAGCCTTGGGAACGCTTTTGGGGCCATCTTGGAGGAGATCGATCAAAACAAATGGAAGCTCTAATTACGACCCCTCCTCGGGAGCCCCAACAAATCGCCTCTTGGGCCCATTTTGGGGCGCTCTTAGGGCCGACTTGGGGCTCTCTTGGGACTCTCTTGGGGCCCTCGTTGAGCTGTCTTGAGACCTCGGAAGGCCATCGGAAGCGAAATTGCGAGAAGGCAACATTCATTGATTTTCGTTCCGTTTTTGAAGGAGTTTGGCCTCTTGGCGGTCTCCTGGGAAGTCTCGGGGGGCATCTTGGAGCCGTCCTGGAGCGTTCTTGGGGCCTCTTGGAGGAACATCTTAGGAGCCATCTCGAGGCATCTTAGGCCATCTTGAAGGTCATCGTGGGCTCTCCGAGGCCCTCTTGGAGCCGTCTTGGGCGAAGAAGTACCCTCTGACACCTCACGGGGCGCCCCGTCCAGGTCCAGGGGACGGTAGCAGGGGGAGGGGTAAACCCCTCCCAGGGGGAGGTTGGAAGAGAAAGCTCTCTAGACAGCCTACGCCCTAAACGGCTGGTGGCATTATGTTCTCCCGTTTCCTCTCGTTTTGTCTCCCGCATGGTCCCCCGCATGTGCAGCGGGCTGCTCTTATTGTTGGAACATGCAGTTTGTAGTATTCTGCCGCCCGGATGCGCGTACTTGCCGTATGGTTGTGAATGTAGTGGCGTCCAGCTTGCGCCGCCGATCCAGGACGCTCCGGGACGTTCGAGCGAACTCGTCATGTTGAGCAGTTCGAGTTTTTACATCGAGGAGCCAGGATCGAGGATGAAAGGGGAGGAGCAGAGGGGACAGGAAGAGGAGGAGGAAGAGAAGGAGGAGGAGGAGGAGGAGGACTAATGTAAACCCAAGGCTCATCAACGATGTTGGAACAAACCGTCCCTCCAAGCTCCCTCTTCACAAGCCCCATACTAGGGTTCACTTCCACTGAGGGAAGTGCTCCGTTGGGAGACAACCGTTTTCAGGCGATCGCAAACATGGATTAAGGGGGCGTGGATTAGCGGCGGGTCCCGTTTCCATGAGAAATCGCGGATTCCCTCCGCCGAACGAGGCGGCACCAGCCGCATTTTGGGGAGGGCACCTCCCCCGATCCATCGGTTTGGCGACCGCGCGCCAAATCCATGGATCGCTAATCCATGTTTGCGCGCCCCCGAACTGAGGGAGGTGCCCCGTCGGGAGACAGCCGTTTGAAAACCCTGAAGCGCGCCAGAGCACAGTTCTTGCGAACCTTGGGCCCGTCCGTAGTGGTTCCCCCGACCATGCACATATGATTGGTTTTCGGGCCTTTTTTTTTGACGCCTCGCCTCAGCCCCGCAGGGACATTCGTTTTGCCAGTTCGTGTGGCCCGAAGAAAAACACGTAAACATAAACTTTTGGCGCTCCGCGCGGATTTCTTGGGTGCGCGCCTTGCCCTCCCCGGCGGCGCCTCCGGCGCCGCCCCTGGCGCGCACCGCGCGCCAGGGAGAGGGTCCAGCGCGGATCCAGGAAATCCACGCGGAGCGCCAAGAGTTTATGTTTATGTTGTTTTTGTTTCTTCTATTTCTACGCAGTACTTGGAGGCTTGGTGCATCGCTGCAGCTGAAGCAGTTGTTTGAAGCTCGGATCCATGTCCTGTGCCGTAAACGCCCGGCGGTGCAAGCCGCGCGGAATCAAGGGCCCGATTCGTGCCGATGTTGTTGCTTCTTCTTTTCGACGTGATTCCACCCGCGGCCCACCTGCTGGGGGCACAGCTCGCTGGGCTGCGGCTGATCTATCGGAATTGCTGAGGGTACTGCCCCCGCCACCTCAAACACAGGAAACCTAAATATTATGTGCGCCCCAAAAAACATTTCTCGTAACTCCAACCAAGCAGCGTGACTGTTGTGTCTTGACGGTCCTGAACCGTGCCAGAAACCATTCCTAGGATTTCAAGACCGCGAATCAATGTAATTGTTGCGCCCTGACAACCCTGAATCGTTTCAAAACACCATGTCTCGTACGTTGACCATGGGGGACCGTGAAATTCTGGTCAATGTTTAAACGAAAGTGCGCGGCGCTAAGGCGAGAGCCACATTTTGAAAACGACGCGCCCTCCATCCGTGAAGCTCTTGCAGCTTTTTGCAGCGAATGCGTGCGGCGCTAAAGCGAGAGCAACATTTTGAAAACGACCGCCCTCCATCTGTGAGGCCTTTAGAGAACCACATTTGGAGAACCACCCGCCCTCTATCTGTGAAGTTCTTTCAACTGATTCAGACGAATGCACCCGGCGCTGCGGCGAAAACCACATTTGAAAACCACGCGCCTTCCATCCGCGAAGCTCTTGCAACTTTTCAAAAAGAATGTGCTGCGGCGAATGCCACATTTTGAAAACCACCCGCCCTCCATCAGCGAAATTCTTGCAACTTTGGGAAAATAATGTGCGCAGCGCTAAGGCGAGAGCCACATTTTGAAAACCACTCGCCCTCCATTTGCGAAACTGCTTCCAATGATTAAGTTTCGGGGCCATAAATGGTGAAGAAGTCGGGCGAAATGGCTGGCCCGCCCTTTCGACCAGCCTCGCGGCGCGACAGGGAAGAGTTATTGATAGGAGAAAGAATTGAGGAGGAGGAGGAGGAGGAGGAGGAAGAGGAGGAGGAGGAGGAGGACGGCGAGGAGGATGGAAAGGGGGGTGTTGGTAGTCGCTGTAGGCATTAGTTATGTGTTGACTGGAATGTATGCGTCGAGTCCGTCTGTCGAGCATGTTGGCGGACTCAGTTCCCTGACGCCTTGGCTCGTTGGTGGGTCGTTGGGCTTAGGAATTCTAGCGCCCGGAGCCCCCGGCCCCAGCCCCGGCTTCGGCCGGGCCCGCGGCCCTGGCCTCGGCCCTGGCCCGGGCGCCGGGCCCTGCGCCGGCCCCGCTAGGCCCCCAGCCCGGGCCCTGGCGCCGGGACGCCCCGGCCCTGGGCCCCCAGCTTTCGGCCCAGGCCCAAGACGGGACACGACCTTCCTGAAATTGGGGCCTGACCCCCTGGCCCGAGCCCCCCCCCCCCCCCGAAGTTGAACCCAGTCCCGGCCCCAGCTTCGGCCCCAGGTCCCATGGGTCCCAGTCCCGGTCTTGGCCCTGGCCCCTTCCAGCAGGGTTCCCTCTCCGCCCCCGAAAATGGACCCCCCCTCCATAGAGAGAAACCATGCCCCTCCCCCCCACAAGAGGACGGAACAGGCCCCCCCCTTCCCTTCCCGGGGCTCCGCCCCCGAAAACAGAGCACGGCCACACCCTCTCCAGAGCGAAACTTGCCTCCCATCCCGAAATCGGAGCACGCTCCCCCCCCCCCTGCATTTCCAGTGCCCCCCCCCCGAAAGCGGGACACGGCCCACGGCCCCCCCTCCACAGCGAAACCAGGCCTCCTCCGAAGACGAGACACCCCCCTTCAGAGCGAAGCTCAAGCGAGCTCAAGCCAACGCTCTTTCAAACTCACACGCTGGATCGGCGAATCTGTTCAGTCCGATGCCGACCAATGAAGACGATGCGTACATTTCAAGACACCGCGCAGACATAATCTCAATCCTCTCGGTTTACGTTTTCAGCCGCTGAGCTGCAGGTTGCTGGTCTTCGAGCTGGAGCTCTGTGCTTCCAATCTCGTGATCGTGGCATCTGTATGTCGATATCCTGATCTCCGATTCGGATTGGCAATGCGACCGTGCTCCGCGCGCCCAGGTCTTTCAGGCTGGGGACCACGTTTCCAGAGGCAACGTTGCGACCGACATGATGGTGGTCAGGGGCCCCGATTGGAAGTGGGAGAACGAGGATGGTGGCGCTGGGAAGCCTGGCAGGATCTTGTCCGTCAGCAGGACCTGGGGGGGAGGGGGGAGGAGGGGGAGGAGAAGGAGGAGGAGGAGGAGGAGGAGGAGGAGGAGGAGGAGGAGGAGGAGGAGGAGGAGGAGCAGGAGGAGCAGGAGGAGCAGGAGGAGCAGGAGGAGGAGGAGGTGAAATATCGATCGACCGTCGACTCGACTATCGATCGACTGCTTGGGAGTTGAAACTGACTGACGCATCGACGCAACTGCCCACAGACAAATGTGGGTGAACAGCTTGGATGTTCAGCGAGACCGTGCAGCCTGAGGGGTCTTCCGTCGCAACGGGTGGACGGAGCAGAGGGTGATTCTGCGTGGCCGTCCGCTGCGTGCCTTTTTTGTCGAGGAGTATGATCTCTTGAAGCTTACCCATCGGTCGTTGAAAGTAGGTATTTTGGGATTCCCAGGTGCCAATCTACTTTACGTAGGCGCCATCCTACTTCAATGATCGAGTGGCTTCACCTTTTCCGTTCTATTTAGGGGGCGGGCGGAAATCCAATCTATTTTCAACGCTTTCCTACTTCATGTTTCTACCTACCTCTTCCGACCGACGGGTAACCGTCGTGAGCGGTGCTGGGACTCCTTTCGACAACGTGCTTGAGTAGATAACCACCCAGATTGCTCATGTTCGTAGTGGTGGGTAAGTTGTGAAAGGTGGTAGCTACAAGTAGGTGCTCGACTGCACTGAAAGGTTGTGTTGTTGAAACTGCATCATCTGGCCTTCCAACCTTGGAAGCATACCAGTGAATTCGTAGCGCGGGGCCCGCACTATTGTTGATGCCCTTGCATGTGTTGCCGCCGCTGAAGCTCTTGACCGTGGGGCTGCTTGGATGTACGTGCGCCGCGACAGCGTGCAAAGGGCACGAGCTAGTGCAGTATATTACCCGCTATTTTTCGACGGTGCTCGGCACGGCTCGGGTGACTCCGTTGCAGGAGTTCCTTTTCTCGCCTGTGATTTTTGGAGAGACCTCATGATCTGGGCAGGAGGGTTGCTAGAAGTCTTGCCATAGGCGCTTCACGCCGAAACTTCAGCTGCAGGATGGTGCCTCTATCGGCTTCATTTGAAGCCCAATCGTCGTCTGGGTTATCAGGTTCTCCTGCTACCCGGCGCCCTGATTCGACCAAGCGGTACTCGAGCAGGCCGCAGAGTGTTGGCGCAGCTTGCTGCCGCGGCTCGGCCATCGGGGGCTGCGGGGGGGACAGTCCTATGAGAACCGTCCCTGCCCTCACCTCGGCCGTGTGGCGTCATCAGGGGCTCTTCCCACAGCGGTCGTACGGCAGTGATGGTTCCCCGTCACGTGGGATCCCCCCGGGCATGCAAGTGCAGCGTCGGCCGTTCTGTGCGGGCGTCGCGGGAGTTTTCCTTCCAGTGGGAGGCGGAGGTGCTCGCGGTGCTTCGCCCCAGCTTTGGAATCTTTGCAAGTGCCCCTCATCTTAGCACGGGGGGAACATTCCCCACAGAAAAGAAATAACAAGGAACTTGTTAGTCTTCGTTCGCTCCTGGATTCGTGAGCGCAGCAGAGGACGTCCATCTATGTTGCAAGCCACCCTGCAATAGCTACTCCATTACTGATCCCAAAAACGATTCGAGCTCATAAGCGTCACCGCGAACAGAATCCAGCGCAGAAAAACAGGATAAAGAGCGATCCTCTGAGATGGAGGAGGGAGATTGAGCATGAGGAGGCAAATTGGGGTGGGAATGGGAGAGGTGGAGGGGAAAATGGCCGTGGGAGGGGGAAAGGGAAATGAGTGGACCTGGGCGGGCGGGGGAGGTGCGGCGAAGGCGGAGCGGGAAGGGCTGGAGGCCGAGGCGGCGTGGGGGAAGAGGAGGTTGGGTGAAGAGGTGGTGGTGGGGGGAGAGCAGGGGCGAAGAGGAGGGGAGGGAAGGGGAGGGGGGAGGAGGCAGTGGAGGAGGACGGGGTGGGGGGTCCTCCGGGCACGAGCACCCAGAGGAGGCTGAGAGGGGGGGGCTCCGGCCGCCCGCCGGCCGCAGAGGCCAGCGGGCGACCTTTGAGCCCGAGATCTCTGTGCTCGGGCTGCCCGCGACCATCCCAGTCGCTGCCTCGCGTGCCGGGTATGTTTACCACCGCCGCCACCATGAGTTGTAGGGGGGAAAGGAGGTGGAGGATGGGGAGGAGGAGGTCGAGGGGGAGGTGGAGGAGGAGGTGGCGGAGGTGGAGGAGGAGGAGGAGGAGGAGGGGGAGGAGGAGACCCCGCTCCCCCTCCAACTCATGGTGGTGGTGGTAGAAAACAGGCCCATCATAGCATGTGGTGCTGGGTTGCCAGTCATGGCGCCAACACCGCAGAGCGGATCTCGTTCGGAAAACGGTAGACGAGGCCCGAACTGTCCTGGAGAATCTCGTTCCGTGCGGAATGTTTCCAGCCAGGAATGAAGACTAACAAACATCCATTTCACTCGCTGTTTCGGGCGCCACCCCGATATACTTACACTATATGTGCGTCGCCCCCCGAGGGGCGGCGCGCACACCGAGAGATCCTGCAGTATATGCATCGTGGCGGGCGCTTTCTGGCCACACCGCCCGGGAAGCGATATACTACAAGATGGCTACACTGCTATGCTCGGGTCGGACGCGCGCATCTAAGGAGGACATTTAGTACTAGTATGTTTCTGTGCGTCCCATGCCAGATTGGTAATGGTGAGATCCGAGGCCACCACTAAGCTCAAGGGCGCCGTTGCGACCATCCCAGTCGCTGGCTCGCACGTGGTGCTGGGTTGCCGGGTTGGCGATGGTGCGGCCCGCGGCCACCACTAAGCTCAAGAGCTCGACCTTGGCGTCGCGCGGACGGGTGCGTTTGTTTCGGCAGGCACCGTCGAGGAGCTTTCTGGATCGTCTGGCAGGAGAAGCACGCACGAAACCGACGAATGCACGGGGAAAGGACGTCCGAGCGATGGCAGGTTGCTGGTATCTCGGAGTGCGATGTAGACGTGTGCGCCGTCGGATGCAGCGCCAGGCACCAGAAGCGGTGGCGCGCGCAAGGGTTGGTGCCGGTGCTCTCGGTAGCCAGTATGGCTCGGGCTGCCTGGCTGCCCCCAAACACTCCCTCCTCTGATGGGCCTGTTTTCCACCACCTCCACCATCAGTTGGAGGGGGAGGGGGTCCTCCTCCTCCTCCTCCTCCTCCTCCTCCTCCTCCTCCTCCTCCTCATCCCCCCTCCAACTTATGGTGGTGGTGGTGGAAAACAGGCCCATCATCCTCCATGAGCTCGCGGGAGCCTCGCCTGGCTCCCCTCATCGGTGCCTCGCCCGCACCATGACTCTGCGCGCCCTCTCGGCCGCGCTGCTCCTGCTGGAGGCGGCGTCCCTGTCCGACGTGACACCTCTGGCGCCGCTGCTGCCCGGTGTAAGCTCAGGCCGGCGTTAAGCGGGACCTAAGAGACGGGGGTCAGTGCAAACGGGGGTCATCCAGGGCACCGGATCTTGCAGGATCCTGCGAAGACCCTCTGGCTGACCCGGGTTAGCGAGCCGCTCGTGGCCGCGGGCGGCCGCGCGTATTGGCTGACTGGGGTTTGCGAAGACCTGCATTGCAGTTTTTGTTTTTCGTTTTTCATTGCAGTTTTTGTTGGTTTCCTGCTGACCCGGGTCTGGACTGACCCGGGTCAGAAGATCCCCGAACATATTTACACTATGTGTGTGCGTCGCCCCCCCGAGGGGCGGCGCGCGCACCGAGAAATCCCGCAGTATACGCGTCGTGGAGGGCGCTTTCTGGCCACACCGCCCGGGAAACGATACACGACAGGATGGGCATACCGTATATTCGGGTCGGACTCGCGCCGCCAAGGAGGACACACTGTATTAGTATGTCCTTGTGCGTCCTCACACTTCCGACGTCGTGATTCTGACCATACGCGGTCCCCTGAGGTCTCGACCCGTTTTCTTCATCCTGAGTACCGTTTTCTGACGGTCCCGGGGCCCGGCGAGGCCTTTTCAGGCAAAAAATAACGAAAGACCTGAATCGTGATTGCATTCACGACAAATTGCAAAAAGAAGAAAAAACGAGCATTTATTTATTTATATGTATATATAGCTATATATATATATATATATATATATATATATATATATATTGCTATATAACTACGAAAAAATGCGTTGGATCTCTGGGTCCCCTCAGGCTTCCGGCTCCACGGCGCGCGCCGCCGCGCCCTGGAGGAGGCGAGGAAGGCTGCCGTCGAGGCCGCCGCCGCCCGGGACGGCGCCTCCTGGTGGGCTTGTTGTCCACTACCACCACCATGCGTAGGAGGGGGAGGGGGTCCTCCTCCTCCTCCTCCTCCGCCTTCCCGCCTCCTCCTCCTCCTCCTCCTTCCTCCTCCTCTCCTCCCCCCCCTCCAACTTATGGTGGTGGTGGTGGAAAACAGGCCCATCATCCTCCCGCCTCCGCCCCGCGGCGCCCGCGCGGCCGCCGGGCGAGCCCGCGCTCTGCCCAGCGGACCCGCCCGACGAGCTCGCCGGAGAGTATGAGGCTTTGGGAGGGCGCCAGCTGTACAGTGCCGTTTTTAGTACATGCTCCTCGTGCGGACCATGTATTAAAAATGCAGGGATGTAGTATTAAAATCAACGATGAGTTATGCATAAATTTGGTCATACATGGATCATGTATTTAAAATCCTATTTGAAAAAATCCTATCTATCAAACAAACTGCCCTGTACACCTATCCAGAGATCCGACGCATCCAAAAAAACAAAGACGGAGTTTCTTCGCTGATTTCGGCCCCTAGGGGCACTCGCCGGGCCCCAGGACCGTCAAAAAACGACTCAGGATGAAAAACTGGTCCTGGGGAATGGGTCGAGATTTCCGGGGACCGCGCGCGTACTGAAGAAATCACGGTGTCGGATCTCTGGGTACACCGCTCCTGGCCCGGCCCCAGCCCTGGCCCAGGATCGGTGTAGACGCCCTCCTCGCCAAGCCAGGGGGGCGTATGCACCGATCCTGGGCCCAGGATGGGCCAGGCAAGGATTGGTGCAGTTGGCGCCCTCCGAGGTGTGGCACAACGGCGTCCGGCGCAACGCGACCGTGTCCATCATGGTAAGGCTTCGGGCTGTGCGCAGACAGTCCTCCCCCCCAGATAGTCTCAGCTGACCTCAACAGGCCTCCCGACCCGAGTACTTCGAGGTCTCAACACCCTGGCGCCGCCTCCGGCGGCTAATTACCCTGAGGCGTTCCGCACCTTTGGGTTGGGACGTTGTGATCGCCCCAGGTTTTTCGGGGGGCTCATTGAGGCCGGCCAAGACCATCTGCGGGGTGTCTGTCTGTGCGCAGCCCGAAGCCTTACCAGTCCATCAGCTGCAACAACGTCATCTACGATGGGGCCTCCTCGACCAGCCTCATCCGCTTCATCGACGCGTCCGTCACGGAGTGCAAGCGCATGGGGGACCGGGACGCCACCATCTACGTCACGTCAAGTAGGGACAGTGAGTGGGGGAACGAAAAATGACTAAACATAAAAACTCGGAGGTCCGCGCGGATTTCTCAGATCGGCGCTGGACCCCCCTCCCTGGCGCGCGGAGCGCGCCAGGGGCGGCGCCGGAGGCACCGCCAGGGGCCCCAGCGCGTATCCGAGCAGTCCGCGCGGACTTCCGAGTTTCTATGTTTATGTCATTATTCGTTCCCCCAGTGATCGCCGCACGTGCCTCTACCGCGATGGAGTCTCCCTCAGAGGCAATCGTTACGTTGGTGATTCACGGGCTTGCGCCGCACCGCCGACCACTGAGGGGCCGAGCTGTGGGGCCACTATTGAGTGACGGAGCGGGTTCGGCTCTGAAAGCTAGGTTTTAAGTCGGGCGTGTCCCTCTACAGGGGGAAGATTCAAGAAAAGATACGAGATAGTCAGGGGACGACGTTGTCAGTATGTTTGACAATGTTTGAGCTTTCTTTGACTATGTTCAGTTTTTCGTGCAGTATCCGCCTGTAGGAGGACATGCCCGACCTAACGCTAGTTCAATGTCCCTTCACTTTTTCCTTCTTGGCCCCTTTCCTGGGGCCCTATCAGGGGGCCGACTGTGGTGCCTCTTGGGAGCCTTTGGGATACCTTTTGGAGGCTCCTTGAGGCTTGTTGGGGCTTCTGGGCGTTCTCTGGTGCGATCTTGATCGATCTTGGCACCAGAGCACCTTCGCTTTCCCCCTCTTGGGCCCCGATCCTGGGGCCGTCTTGGGCGCTTGTATTGACAGTCTTACGGTCCTTCTTTGGGACCCTCTTTGAGCTGTTTTGGCGGTTTCATTTGGTGGCCTCGAAGCCTGTCTTGGGACGACGATGTTGGAGGCCTCGCAGGCTGACGTGGACGCTGCTTAGCTCCATGAAGAGAGGCGTTAAACATATCAGCTAGCGCAGACTCCAGAGAGATCATAATACTTAGTGCTCTACTCTACCTTAATTCTTTACGCTTCGCGTATCCCCACCAGCCCATCTCACAGCAGCAACTCTCGCGAAGCATGCCGACAGTTGTGTTTTTCAGGCGTGTGTCCGCTGGGTTCCGCATATCTCCCCTGTTCCTCCTTCCTCCCGCCTCCTTGTCAATCCTTCTTGTGAGGTGAGGCGTTCGGGCACCTCGTCCGCGTGCGAGGTGGTCGGGGTTTTCGCAGGTGGAGTCGTAGAAGTAGTAGTAGTAGTAGTAGTAGTAGTAGTAGTAGTAGTAGTAGTAGTAGTAGTAGTAGTAGTAGTCGTAGTAGTAGTAGTAGTAGTAGTAGTAGTAGTAGTCGTAGTAGTAGTAGTAGTAGTAGTAGTAGTAGTCGTATTAGTGCTAGTAGTAGTAGTAGTGGTAGTAGTATTAGTAGTAAGTCGTAGTCGTCAGTCGTAGTCGTAGTCGTAGTAGTAAGTAGTAGTAGTAGTAGTAGTAGTAGTAGTAGTAGTAGTAGTAGTCAGTAAGTAGCAGTAGCAGTAGCAGTAGCAGTAGCATTAGCAGCAGCAGCACGCAGCGTACACAGCAGCAGCGTATAGTATTAGTATTAGTAAGTAGTAGTAAAGGGCGAGGGGCCCCAACTACTCACACCACGTGCATTCTGGTCCAGGACGTGCGCACTCTGAGTTCCGTGATTCCTCATATCTGTTCGAGGGGACCGATCTTGGAGGCGAGTTTCCCCTTCTGCTCCTCTTCCACCTCTCCCTCCTAAGTTGCCGCCTGCAGCCCGCGCCCGACTTGATGGGCGAACCTGCCTTTCAGGTGCAGCTCAGAGCTGCGAGCCTGAGCAGGGTAGTCACTTGTGCCGCGTGAGCGCTGCAGGACTGGACAGGAAAGATCGCTGGATCGTCGACGCCGTCGTCCATTCAATCGTCGTCGTCGAAGTCGTCGTTGTCATCGTAAGCATGGTCGCCGTCGTCGTCGGCGTCGTCGCCGCCATCATCGTCTGAGAAGTCGCCGTCATGTGAGTCGTCTGAGTCGGTTACGTGCAGGACTCGAGGAGGACCGCCTTCTGTCTTGACTCCCATCGCCTTCTCTCCCTCCTCCTCTTCCTCCTCGTGGGCCCCCTCAACAAGATAGATGTAGGAAGAGAGAAGAAGAGGCAGGAGGAAGAGGACACAGAGGATATGTGGGAGGGCACGCGGAGACACGCCTGAATCACACCACGGTCGGCATGCTTCGCTAGAGTAGTAGCGGTGGTAGTGGTAGTGGTAGTTGTATTGTAGTAGTAGTAGTAGTAAGAATAGTACTAGTAGTAGTAGTAGTAGTAGTAGTAGTAGTAGTAGTAGTAGTAGTAGTAGTAGTAGTAGTAGTATTCGTAGTAGTAGTAGTAGTAGTAAGTAGTAATAGTGTAGTAGTAGTATTAGAATAGTAGTAGTAGTAATAGTCCGTAGTATTAGTAGTAGTAGTATTAGTATGTGTCGTCGTCGGAGGAAGTACATATGAGTAGTAGTAGTATAGTAGTAGTAGTAAGTAGTAGTAAGTATGTAGTAGTAGTATGTAGTAGTAGTCGTCGTAGTCATCGTGGTGTAAGTAACATCCGCCGCTCTGCGGTTGATCGGGAGTTTCTGCATATATAGACGAAGGGGCGCGCGCTTCTGGGCGAGAGGGAAACGACCGAGAGAAGAAGGGGCGGCCGCCCCACAGGACCTCTTCATGGTGCCGGAAGCCCATCAGGGCTCCCTCAGGGCCCCTCCCCCAGGGCCGGGGCTCCCTCGCCTGCCCCCTCCCCCTCCTCCTCCTCCTCCTCCTCCTCCTCCTCCTCCTCCTCCTCATCCTCCTCCTCCTCCTCCTCCTCCTCATTTTTGTCGAGACGTCGCATATCCAGGCGTGTGGCCGGCCTGGTCGTCCGTCCGATAACGGTGCGGATGACCGCTCTGCTGGGCTCCTCTGCATCCCCCACCCGGGCCCGTTTTGCAGGAATTCTCAAGGCCGAGGGCGCCGGTTTGGGATTCGTCACCGAACCCAGCGAATCCAGCGGATCCGTGTCCGGAAACGGTGACCGGAAGGCCAGCTCTGGGCTCCTCTGTGCATCCGCCCGCGGGGCCGCGTTTGGGGGGAGGAAGAGGATGTCTCAGGCGAGGGGCGGCCGGGGTTGGGATTCGTCACCGATCCACCGGATCCACCGGATCTGTCCGGAAACGGTGCCTGAGGCAGCTCTGGGCTCCTCTGGGCACCTCCCCCGGGGCCGGTTTTGTGAGGATGTCTCAAGCGAGGGCGCCGGTTTGGGATTCGTCGGCGGATCCACCGGATCCACCGGATCCACCGGATCTGTCCGGAAACGGTGCCGGAGGCCGCTCTGGGCTCCTCTGGGCACCGCCCCCGCCGGGGCCGGTTTTGTGAGGATGTCTCAAGCGAGGGCGCCGGTTCGGGATTCGTCGGCGGATCCAGCGGATCTATCCGGAAACGGTGCTGGAGGCCGCTCTGGGCTCCTCTGGGCTCCCCCCCGGGGCCCGTTTTGTTGAGGCTGTCCTCAGGCGAGGGCGCCGGTTTTGGGATTCGCACCGGACCGCGATTCTTCCGATCCCGTCCGGAAACGGTGCCGGAGGCCGCTCTGGTTTCCTCTGGGCACCTCCCGGGGCCCGTTTGTGAGGATGTCTCAGGCGAGGGCGCCGGTTTGGTATTCGTCACCGATCCCGCGGATCCAGCGTATCCAGCGGATCCAGCGGATCCGTCCGGAAACGGTGCCGGAGGCCGCTCTGGGCTCCTCTGGGCATCCCCCCCGGGGCCCGTTTTGTGAGGATGTCTCAGGCGAGGGCGCCGGTTTGGGATTCGTCACCGGATCCAGCGGATCCAGCGGATCCAGCGGATCCGTCCGGAAACGGTGCCGGACGCCGCTCTGGGCTCCTCTGGGCATCCCCCCCGGGGCCCGTTTTGTGAGGATGTCTCAGGCGAGGGCGCCGGTTTGGGATTCGTCACCGGATCCAGCGGATCCAGCGGATCCGTCCGGGAACGGTGCCGGAGGCCGCTCTGGGCTCCTCTGGGCATCCCCCCCGGGGCCCGTTTTGTGAGGATGTCTCAGGCGAGGGCGCCGGTTTGGGATTCGTCACCGGATCCAGCGGATCCAGCGGATCCGTCCGGAAACGTTGCCGGAGGCCGCTCTGGGCTCCTCTGGGCATCCCCCCCGGGGCCCGTTTTGTGAGGATGTCTCAGGCGAGGGCGCCGGTTTGGGATTCGTCACCGGATCCAGCGGATCCAGCGGATCCAGCGGATCCGTCCGGAAACGGTGCCGGAGGCCGCTCTGGGCTCCTCTGGGCATCCCCCCCGGGGCCCGTTTTGCGAGGATGTCTCCGGCGAGGGCGCCGGTTTGGGATTCGTCACCGGATCCAGCGGATCCAGCGGATCCAGCGGATCCGTCCGGAAACGGTGCCGGAGGCCGCTCTGGGCTCCTCTGGGCATCCCCCCCGGGGCCCGTTTTGTGAGGATGTCTCAGGCGAGGGCGCCGGTTTGGGATTCGTCACCGGATCCAGCGGATCCACCATGAGGTTCCAAAGGCTGTCCGTGGACAACGTGTGTCCACGGACCAATGATCATCTTTGAAAACTGGTTCAGGGACGCATGTTTTGTCCAGGGACGAGTATACATGTCCCTGGACAAGTGCACATGTGTCCAGGGACAAGTATACTTGTCCACGGCCAAGCCTCTGTCCAGGGACAAGTGTGCGTCCGTGGACAACAACGACTGACGCGTCAGAGTGAGGGGGCCGAACGGTCATTCACTGTCCCTGGGTGCGTGGCTGAAGTGGAGTTCCGCGGTGCGGATTGTTGTTGTTGTTGTTGTTGTTGTTGCTGTTGTTGCTTGTTGTTGTTGCTTTTGTTGTTTGGTCGTGGCCCCCCCCCCCCCCAGAACCGCACCCCGACCCACCCGCACCGGGGGGGGGGGGGGGGGGAGGGAGACCGCGACCCCCACGCGACCCAACCCTCCCGCGAGGCACCCGCGACCCACCCGCGACCCACCCGCGACCGACCCACGATCCACCCCGCGACCCATCCCCGACCCACCCCGCGACCCACACCGCGACCACCCGCGACCCACCCCGCGACCCACCGCGCCTCTAGTGTTCTTAGGGGGGCCGTTGGTGCCCATGATTGTTTGGTGTGTTCATCCGTGATGTATGCGTATAAGTATATGCGTATGCTGCGCTGTGCGGATACGCATGTATGTATACGTGATATCACTTTCATCAGTGCAACAGCTTACATCGGTGATCATATACACAAGAATGTATATGCATCCGCATATACATGTTGGCTTAGATATTTATATGTGCCTATGTAT